ATCACATCATATTGAAAGCTTTCTTTTTACTTCTACAGAAATGCCAAACAATGAATCACCATTGATTAGGAGGTGAGCAATCTGTGCAACACTTGCAGAACTTTGAATAATTAACCCCTTCATGGCTGATGAAAAGCAGAATCCTCATAATTCACAAAGGAGTTAAATTTGAGTTTGTCCAGCTTATCGGTAATAGGGCTCTCTGCCAGCTTGATAACAGCTCCACTGAGTTTATCGTCCGATATTAATCAATAAGAATGTACTTAATGTTATTACCTTAGCGCTGTAAAACTTTGAGACTGCCAATAAATCATTAACCAAGCTGACATTAGCAATAGAAAAAGAAAATACACTGAGCAGAAGCCAAGTTGTTGGGACCATTGAGTTACACCAGGGCTTTACAAATTCATGGTCTCAGGTCACCATGGAAACAAACTTTGGAACCGGTACCCAATAATGTCTCCCTATCAAGAGATCAAAAGATCTCTCCTGGCACATTTGCTAATTTTTAAAAATTTTTATTATTCATTCAATTATTCCCTGTAACGAATAAATCACCTTCATGTAGTGTGTCCCTTAATTTTAGGCAAACCGCCACATACATGCATATTCAAAATATGCTCAAATTGGCACATAACATGTTCGTTTTATATACTGCATAGCTAAAAGATGACAGGAAGGCTTCTCAATTGCTAAGGGTCTCTACAGGAAGAAGCGTGAAACACTATGCCAGTGCTTACTTGCACTTATTTTGTGGAATTGCTGTGCCCCAGAGGAGACTTTTCCAAGGTCTGACCTGAGATATGTAGTTGTTGTACAGATTTTAAATTACTATTATTATTATTTTTTTTTTTAAGTCTCTCACCAGGCTAAATCTTGATGACTGGACAGAATACCAAAAACTGGATTGTCCCACCAAAAGCAGAAACCCTCGGAGACAGCGCAATGAGCCCAAGAGTGCTGTCTCACTGTAGACTAAACTACATTAAACTGTCAAATACTACTTCTTCTTTAAGTAGAGTATGGACAGCATTAAATTTGGCCCTGGCCCATATATACTACGGAAAAAAATGTATGAGCCCTGGCCTGCGTAGCTTTAGCACATCATTTTGTTTTGCCTCTTTATAATGTTTTTACATGAATAAATGATGGCTGTGAGTAAATTTCCCTTTCTAGATTTAATATTTGGAATCTTGAACCATAATCTGCCAACAAGCATTTGCAAAGTTTCCATTTCCATAACTTGTTTAAATTATTTGTTTAGAATAGATCCATCCAGTAAGTAATAGGAGATTATAGTTCATTCACTAAACCGTGAATTGCGATCAATGGAAAACTGAATTCCAAGATGGATATGTAGCTAATCTGGAGATTTTGTCCCAAATTTGTAGTTCCCTTTTCCATTGACCACCATTCACCATTTACAATTAGGAGATACATGAGTTTATCCCCTTCCTCCTGTCCATTATATATGAAAGTTAAAATGTGGTACACATTTTCTGTGCTTATTTACAGACTATTTGTAGCCAGATTAAAGGACCACTATAGGCACCCAGACCACTTCAGCTTAATGAAGTGGTCTGGGTGCCAGGTCCAGCTAAGATTAACCCTTTTTTCTATAAACATAGCAGTTTCAGAGAAACTGCTATGTTTATAAATGGGTTAATCCAGCCTCTAGTGGCTGTCTCTAGACAGCCGCTAGAGGGCTTCCGCGCTTCTCACTGTGATTTTCACAGTGAGAAGATGCCAGCGTCCATAGGAAAGCATTGAAAGTGCTTTCCTATGGACTGGCTGAATGTGCACGCAGCTCCTGCCACGCATTCAGCCGAGAAGGAGGAGAGCTCCCTGCCCGGCGCTGGAGAAAGAGGTAAGTTTAACCCCTTCCACTCCCTAGAGCCCGGCGGGAGTGGGACCCTGAGGATGGGGGCACCCTCAGGGCACTATAGTGGCAAAAAAACAAGTGTTTTCCTGGCACTATAGTGGTCCTTTAAGGTTAAATTTGTACAAAAGGATGTATTCCATGTGTCTTATTTCCTACGGCTGTACGATTCCCTCGTTCCCATGAAGGAGCACCAGGGAGCAAAAAAAAAAGGACACTATGTGAACACTAGTAAACTGGCTACTGACCCTACTGGACCAATGCTTGGCAAATCGTAAGGCTGGGGACCAAGAACTGATATTTGTATTTATTTTACATATACTACCCAGTAAATCGCAGGGAGGCTGGAACAGACACAACCATACATATTGCTAATCAACTCTGTACAGAGCAAAACACAGCTATTCACACACTGTAATAGACAAGAGCCAAAGATATCCACACACAACTACACACATCTGTCACCGCTACCTATAAACAACCACACATACCATTTACAGCTAGCCACGCACATCCCCCAGACACAACAGCAAACATTACTCACAGTTACTACATTTACAGCAACTCTGCACACAGATGCAGTAAGCCAAACCCAGCCACAATACAAACCTAGTACATGTCTAGAATTAGCCACACTACATCTACAAACACGCTCTCACCTCACACATGCAGCCAGCTATACACAGCCATATGTATATTAAGTAAGGGTTTAAAATTTGTCCCCACGAAACCAATAGATCGTTTTGAAGTTTTTATAGATCTAAACAAATTTAAACGGCAGTTATGTTTAAAAAAATGCTTCCTAAGAAAAGATATTTATCCAACCCAGTTGCCTCAATCAAATTATGTTCATACTGAATTAAAGGATAAGTCTACTTTTTTTCCCAATAATTTCATCTCCGATGAAATGATTTCCTTTGAGAAGTCAGTCATGCAAGATATAAATAAAATCAAAACAAATAAAAAACAGATGAATTTAAATAAAGTAGAATGGCTAGCCCTTAAAAAACTCCAAAAGGATCAAAGTAAGGTAATAAAACCAGCAGACAAGGGGGAGGGGGGTATAGTAGTTATGGACGCTGTTAAATATATACAAGAAGGCTTAAGACTAGTTGAGGACCCAGACACATACTGTAAATTGACAGGTGACCCAACTAAAGATATCACAAAAAAATTTGAAGAATTATTTACACAGGGAAAGGAAATGGAGATTTTAAATGATAATGAATATAAATATTTAAATATTAAAAAGCCTAGAATTCCAGTACTATACCACCTCCCTAAAATACATAAGGACCTCAACAACCCTCCAGGCAGGCCGATAGTCTCGGGGATAGACTCAATCTCTAGTAGACTATCGGAATACCTGGATCATTGTCTTCAACCGACAGTTCAGAGTACATCTAGCTATCTGAAGGATACCCTAAATGTTATTCAGATTCTGAAAGAAATACAATGGGAATCTCATTTCATCTTAGTCACGGCAGACGTAGGATCATTATATACCATCATCTCACATGAGAAAGGTATGGAGGCCGTGGATTTCTTTTTGAAACAAGCCCAAGTTTACCCAGAGGAACAGATAGCATTTATATTACAAGGGATTGATTTGATTCTCCGGAACAATTACTTCTGGTTTCAAAATGACTTCTACTTACAGAAGTGCGGTACCGCTATGGGAACAAGGTTCGCACCCAGCTATGCAAATCTTTTTATGGCATTTTGGGAACATAGTTTCATTTTTTCCAATGCCAGTTGGAGTGCGAACCTTGTTACCTATAAGCGGTACATTGACGATATATTTTTTATTTGGAGGGGGACGGAGGATGACCTGAAAGACTTCCTCTGTTTTCTGAATGACAATCAATGGGGAATAGTACTTACTACTGACTACAGCCTATTACAAGTTAATTTCTTGGATCTGACCATCTATGTGGAAAATGAATGTATTAAAACCAAGACCTATTTCAAAAGTGTAGATGTCAACAACTATATACATCTAAATAGTTGCCATTTCTCACCGTGGCTGAAGAACATTCCAAGGTCTCAATTCATGCGTATACGCAGAAATTGTACTGATGTTAGCAGTTTTCAAGAACAAGCCCATAGGGTTAAAAACAAATTTTTGGAAAAGGGTTACGACAATAAAATATTATCAAGCACTTTAAATGAAATAAAAATTCTGGACAGAGAATCTCTCTTAAAATATAAACAGAAAAAAGAAAAAGATAGTGAAGGAGTACCCTTTATTTGTAATTATAATCAAGAAGAGAAAAGAATAAGAAAAATAATTAATAGACACTGGCCAATTCTAAGAAGTGACCCTCTATTATATAATATACTGACAGAAAAACCACAGATTATATATAGGGGAGCACCCAATTTAAAACAAATATTAACTCATAATTACATAAAAGAGGAAAAATCTAATCCGTTCTTCCAAAAATCTGGGTTTTTTGGATGTGGCCAATGTCTGGCTTGCAGGAGTACTAACAGTAACAAAAGGCATGTTACGTCATTTATAGATCCTCAAAACAAAAAAGAATATAAAATTAAACAAATGATAACATGTTTTTCAAAGAAGGTAATTTATGTTCTGAAGTGTCCATGTCAATTGTACTATGTGGGGAGAACCAAGCGTCCCCTCCACGTAAGAATAAATGAGCATGTTAGAAACATCAGGAAAGGCTATGAGAAGCATTATGTATCTTTGCACTTTAAAACAGTACATAATAGTGATCCAAGTATGTTAGAATTTTTTGCTATCCAAAGGGTTATTTTAAGCTGGAGAGGAGATGATGAAATCAAAATATTGGGAAAAACGGAGATGAAATGGATCTTCAATCTCAATACTCTTACTCCATTTGGCCTAAATGCCGATTTTGAGTTATACCATTTTTTATAAAAAGAGAGAAGATTTTTATTATAAATATGTATATGTTTTTTATATATGTTTTTTATTATATATTTTTAATTATCTAATATAAAGAACAAAAAGAAAAGTAAAATATAAAAAACTAGTTTCTTTATATACATTATATTTCTGTATAAAAAACTAGTTTTATCACATACATTATATTTTTGTGTATATATGCGTCTATCTCTTTAAGATTGACAAAATATTAAAATACATCTGAATATACTATGTTAGGAAATAGATATGCACTTATTAAAGCTATTATTAAATAACAGTACATTTAAACTAACATTATTAATGTCTCCTATTTTGGATTACAGTTTACAGAATTATAATTAATGTATATATAAGATTAATATATCCCAGTCTGTAAAATGATGTTTTTTTCCCTCTTCCTATCCCCATAAATACACCCCTGTTTCTTCATGAGCGATCTCACATCCGCTGAGGTGGAGTGAGTTTTGAACTTTTAACGTCGCCAGAACTACAGAGAAGAGACTTCTGGGAAATGTAGTTCTGGACGGCGAACCGGAAATGACGTTACGGCAATTAGAAGCCGCAACTAGGATCATTTGATATCGGATGAACGATTGGACGCAGAGAGGAAGGGCGGGAGAAACAACTTCTTTTAAAACCGGAAAACAGGACATCAACAGAATACCAATTGAGAAAGCCAACGGAGAAGGCGAAACGCGTCTTGGTAGAACAGGAGAGGAAGGACTTCGGCACATATTGTATTTATTTATACTTTTTTATTATTATTCGATATTTTAACTTTATTTTATATAATAAATTTTGTGTTTGAATATACTTACCTCTACCTTGAATTTCTGGATCCGGTTAAGGGTAGTGTCACCCTTTATATTAGACACATATGCTATTTATACTTAGAGCCAGTTACTAAAAGGCTCTTAAAAAGGTGAGCATTTTTTCCTTTTTCACCTTAAAGAGATATTGTACTGCATGCTAAGAGTTAAACAATCTGCACCCAGAAGTCTGTTTTTGTTTTTTCTCTTCTCTTGGAGTCTTCACTTTGATTGAAAGGAGGGAAAGAAAGGAGGGAAAAAAAGCAAAAAAAGCAAAGAGAGAAAAAAAGCAAGCAGAATTTATACGGTCTCGCTGCCTACCTTAAAGGCACGGATACTTAAGTGTTTAGAGCCTATATCCATATAAAAGGCTCTAATAAATGTGAGTCTACCTGTATATATCTATATTCACTTCAATACAGGCTCTACGTTATTACCCTATGTATGTTCTCTGTGTTTTTCTCTTTATATGTCTACTTCTTTGATACTACCCTGAGTGGTAAGTGTACATTTATATTCTTGAGCACTGTGAATACACACCTATTAGCGCTACACTCTTACCAATAGTGGGAAGGTGTTTACACTGACCCATTTGAGGTTTTTTGTTTGTTTTTTGCATGTGGAGAGTGGTTTTTGGAGTACCCTCATGAGTGTTTTATAGCAGCTTTTTGATATTGTTATATATTATATTTATAAGCGCCACCTATTCCCACACCTTTCTCTGTGTTGTTTCCATACACAGCCATATACCTAAACACACAGTCCTCCCCACACACACACACACAATGTCACCCTATATGGTGCGTAAGTGTTTTTTTGTTAAGCCACGCTAACTACATTCCACTGTAGCGGTTATGGTGTCAGGGGTCCCCTGTTGCTCTCCCAGAGTAAGTAGTCAAACCATTCTAAGAACTTTTTGACAATTTTACCTGTGTCCTGCCAAGCACCTGCTGATTCCCTTGCAGTCAAAAGATCTTGCCACTAAGTTTGGCCCAGCCATCTAGGGCTGTGCTCTTTGGCTGAGAGAGCTTAACTGATGTTTTCAGCCAATGAGCCATCCCGGCACAGTAATATCTAGCTGAGTGAATTTGATGAAAGTTCCAGGACCAAGAGGGGGATACCTTGCGGGACCCAGGTAAGTTGTTAGATCTTTCTCAAACACTTGGAGTAATTACTCCGGAAGACGCACGGTTGTACTGTTTGCACAAAAACCACTGCTGTGGGTTCTAGTGGTAATGGTGCGTGTAGTGTCCCTTTAATACATTTTCACATTTGATATGATAAAATTAGAATTAATAAAAGGAAATAATTCCTGGTTACACATCCTAATGACATGTGCTGTACATGCCTTTGCTAACATGTAGCAGACCATTAGAATGTTTCTTCCACTAGAGTTGGAAACCCTCCCCCACCCAAACGCAAGGATTGTGATGTTTCCATTATTGCCTGGCAAATTGTAAGGCTGGCCGAGTGTCCTAGGAAACGAATTATAACAGCTGGAATAAGTAAGGTTACTTTTGATGTCACTCTTATAAAGTATATGTGTCCTGCATTCTAGGCTAATTGTCTAGCACAGACATTTGTGTTTTTTTGTAATACTAAATCATCCTAAAGGAAAGCTTTTTGGAAACTGATAAATCATTCTCCTGATTTGCAAATCCATAGCTTTGTTTTTCAGTTGTCTTATGTGTAAATGCCTTAGTACGTTTGTGTATATTAGAAGGTATTTTGGATCAGCCAGCTCACGGTCTTCTAGCTTTCCACATTCTCCAGGGGTAAGCTATGACATTGGGCCAACGATTACACAGAACAGTAGAGTACATCCAGAGGACACTGTGTGCATGTGATCAGCACTAAAATAGATCCGAAATGTGACGTGAAACCCAGAGGATATTGCAGTTCGGAGAGCCTAATCAATCTACACTGCAGGGACCAGAATGAAAGCATCAGTCTTAGGAAGGCTGGCCCCATCTGTACTGTTGAGCCTAGCAACCATCGCCTAGGAGACGGTGACTTTAAAGAAAAATGCAAGAGACTCACATGTCAATAAATCCTTCAACAAAGATTATGCTACATGGCTGGCTTAACTGGTCTTACCCACTCTCTAAAGACACAAGACCCCGGTAACCCATTGAATGCTAGTGCATGCAGTGTACAATGGAGGAAATCATCTGATTCATTTGTTCAGACACTCTATTCCCTATGCTTTTCTACTGGGGAAATTCTTCCATACATTACTGTGTACACATCACTCAAGCCATTTTAGAACAATGCTATTTAAAAAGAAACAATATTGGGGAGAAAAAAAGCTGTCATTTTCCACCAAAATGTTAATCTCTAACAGCAGATATGTGAGAGAGAGAGAGAGAGAGAGAGAGAGAGAGAGACTGCTCTGTTCTACAAACATTTCAAGGTCTTCTATTTCTATTTTACTTTTTGGGTTTTGTCCATTTGTTTTTGCACGGGTGTGGACCTATGTTGGTCCAGTTTAAGAAACCAAGGATAAATTTGCCAGGGAAATTCACACTGTCAATATGCCCAACAGTACAGGCTTCTGGATGCCCAGTGAAGCCTCAAAGCTCCTCGAACATGCCACATCACCTGGCAGTTGCTCATATATAGTGGAGTGCCAATATAAACAAAATATATCCACTTTTTTTAGGACTCATAGGAATGTAGGTCTTCTAGTTGTATCCATTATTATTTAAAAAAAAAAAAAAAATTGTTGCAGATGATATCTTTTCTATAATGTGTTCCGTACCTTCCACCCAGTTTTGGCAGGACAGTCCTGATTTTAGTGTCCAGCCCCACCAGGGCACTCATGGCACCATAACCACTACATCAAGCAGTACTGCTATGCTAATTGTGTTTGGAATGTTCCTTCAAGCATCAGATAGGCATTTGCCTTGCTCTCTATTTCTATATATAGAACTTCCAGCCCTAATATTAATAATTAGCTGTACCTGCCGAGCCTTACTTTGAAAATGGCTTTTTTATTTTTTTGTACTAAAATATCATAAATCCCCCACTGCTTGCTCTAAATAAAGAGGTTAAAAATAATTGCAATTATGGATTTTTTTTTAGGCAGCTAATAAATGCTTCTCATTCTGAATGTACATTAAGGGTTAATAAATGGCATTATTTTACAGTGTGCTTTTATATCTGAAAACCTACCCACCAGGTTAATACAGGAAATAGTGTTTGAGGTTCCAACTGAAATTATTAGAGGCAAATCATCGGCTCCCTCTGTGTCTGCTGCAATGTGATTAAAGTATTTTATAAACTAAGCAGCTGATGGGAAGCTGACAGGAATAAATGTCTTGCGAACCCTTTGGGAAAATCATTGCTTTCCTATTCCGCAGGTCCAAGCAGATTCCTAGTACTAGAACATTCACTTTAAAAAGGGCACAGTAATTGCTAAATAAGAGGGATTTGTATAAATATCCTTTACTGATGGGGTGGGGGGAGAATTATGAGCGCTTTCAGGACCTACCTTATTAGAAACCGGTATATTTTGCTTTCTCATGATGATTGAGAATAAATGAACAGAAAGGGATCTAAGTCTGTGTCTTCTATTGAATAAAATAAATTGATTTCCCACCTAAAGGCGGAGGCCAACCGATTACTTAACAACATATCATCAGCGTATGCTGCTACTTTATGTTCCTGTGTTTTGTGTTTTAGTCCTGTTATCGCTGGTGTGTTTCAAACTCGGTCCAGGAATGGTTCCAAGGTGAGTGCAAATAAGAGCAGCGATAGCGGACAGCCTTGTCTGGTGCCTGTAACGAGAATATACCCCAACATGCAGGATTCGGCTAAACAGAGGAGAGATACGTCTACCGGACCTTAGAATGGCCGCACTCGACGTATATGAGAGGAGGCGGAGTCAGGAACGATCCGAAGTCAAGGACACAGAGAGACAGCGTAAACTAGGACAAGCCGGGGTCTGGTACACAGTAAACAGCAAGCCGACAACCAGAACAGATAAGGATAAAGAGAAAACTTAGTCAGAAACAAAGCCAAAGTCAAAACGGAGAAACACAACTGAACACAACAAGCGCTAAAGGGAACTGATACAGAAACCACGATAGGGCAGGGAGTAAAGGGAGAGGTAAGTTTAAATAGCTTCTAAACTAATGTGATTGGCTCCTGTCATATCCACACCCCAAAAGGTAAGTGTATGGGGAGTGTGGCATGACAGGGGCCAATGGGAGCCTTTTAACAATTTAGGCTCCCACTGTCTCTTTAAGAGCGCACCCGAGACTCGCGGCGCGCTCTTAGATTCAGGCGGGACACGTGACCGCTTCTCGCGGTCACTGCCTGCCTTCCTGTTGAGGCCGTCGGATGAGCGGCGCGCGGCTCGTGCAGCAGCAGGACCGCGCACGGCTCGAAGAGAGGACCGCGGCCGGCCCCTGGATAAGGTGAGTAACGCTACAGTGCCATTTTGGATGTTGAAACTGTCAGTTAATGCTCCATTTACTCTGACTAGCATTCAGCTGCTGGTAGAGTGTTGTGATCCAGGTCAACATCCCATCCCCTATACCGACTCTTTTTAATGTCTCCGTCATGAAGAGCCAGTCTACCCTATCGAATGCTTTTTCTGCATCCGTGGAGAGCAGAAGTAGTTTTCTTAAGGTGTTTTGCTAGGTGTTGGATCGTGAAAAGTCGGAGCGTGTTGTCCCTGGCTTCCCTGGATTGGGTGTACCAATCTGGGCATATAGGTTTGCAGTCTGGACGCCAGAATCCTGGAGAGAATTTTAACATCCATATTGATGAGAGAGATTGGTCGGTAATTCCCCACCTCTTCTGTGTTCTTGCCTGGTTTGGGGATTACTGTGATTGTCGCGGCCAATGATTCTCTGTGGAAGGTTGCACCTTCCCGCAGTCTGTTCAATGCCTTTGCCAGCCGTGGTATGAGTTCCTCACCAAATTTTTCGTAGTATTCCATCGGGAATCCGTCCGGGCCTGGTGCCTTGTCCGCTTTTGCCTCTTTCAGGGTTATCTTTATTTCCTCCTCGGTTATGGGAGCATCTAAGGCTTCCGCTTCAGCCAGTGTAAGGGCCTCCGGGTTAACGTCCTGTAGGTATCAGGCTGTGTCCGCTTGTTTCCCCTCAGGGGTCCTTCCCTCCCCTTCGTTAGTGATGATATATAGCTGCA